ATGTATTGCATTTGCCAGAGCTGAAGCCCAGTCTGTCAGTCTCCATCACTTTGATTAGGTGTATTTTTTCTGTACTTGTTAAAATAGGTTGTGCACATGACACAACAGGTGTTTGGCAGGTATCAAAGTTTTTCATTTGGTGTTGGAGCAGGGCTCCATTTAAGGATACATTCTGGAAGCACTGGCACTAAGTATGCTCTTGAGCAAGTTCTACGGAGTTTAACAGTGAAGTTCCATAAGGATAAATGGAGTTAAAATATACCATGGCCAGCAGACCCTGACTCATCTAATAGAGAACTATAGAACCAGGATGTGGTTAAAGACATATCCAAAAATTTAGAAACTATAGACTTGAGATAATAGCCTATGTCAACCATTTCTTACAACCCCCCAATCCTTTACATCTTCTAGAGCATGTAGAATATTTACCTAGAGGTCAGTAAATCATGAGACTGTTGAAGGGATATGAGGAACAAGGCTGGAGGTGAAGGGGGGAGAATTATGTTGCATGGGTAAGTCACTAAGTGAATAAAGCACAGCCTTAAATATGAGATTTGGGATGAAGAAAATTTAAATAGTTTTAAAAGGTTGATTATTAAAGGAAGCTATCAACTGGCAACTTTTTTTTTCTTTTTTAAGAAAGACAGCATACAACCAAGCATTACTCAAGGAACACATGACTGAAAAATTGAGGAAAGTATATAACCCTTGGAAGTAACTGGAAATGGTACCAGAGTGTCGATAGGCCTTTGATCTTAGACAGGAGAAAAAGAACAAGGTTGGAAAAACATTGAGAAAGAGAAGCCAGTCAAAGCTGTGAAAGCTAAATTAAATTTCCTAGAACAAGGTAGTAGAATCCAGTAAGATATAACCCAGAGGCAATTGGAATGCCAAGGCTCTTTGAAACATAAATGGCTGCCTAATGCATTTTACAGATACATGTGAAATGGGAATAAAGGCTAATGTAATTGTTCAACAATGTGGTGCAGATGATGAAATATAAGCACTTAATTTGGAAGAGTACAGTATTAACATGACTGCCTTGATTACTGTGAAGAGTATGACATGTTTGAATGGGCTTGACAGGGAAGACGGACTATTCTCTGCAATGCAGAAATCTCAAACTAGTTATTTCTTCTAGGAACAACCATTTTATTCAATCAGCTTTGTGTACTGATGGTTTTTTGACAATGTTTTGAGCACCACCACCACCACCAAAAAAGACGCTTGAACCCCCAAACAGAATTGGATGTGTTCTACAAATCTAATTGCATATATTATTTCCCAACGTGTCTAATTTATAATTTGATTAAGAGATGGATTACTAAATAAGAATCAGTTTTACAAGGAAAAACTAAATTCCTATTCTTATTCTGCTTCCAAAATATTTATTATAAGAGAACATCAAGAAGTATGTAGTGAGTGTTTCTGTTTACTGATCTTTCACTATTAAGGCCCCATTGGAAGAGGTGTCATTGCATTCGTGGGTTCTCTGTTTGAAACCTAGAGAAACACCCTGTAGAGACATGAGGCACAGTGGAGGGAGAACTTCTCATTACTGTTCTAGGCTGTTGGTTCTCAAATAAGGAAAAGGGATACTACCCAGTTCCAGGTCCAATGAGTTTCCTGTGGTGTTTTATCTGGTCTCCATGGAGAGGACCTTGGGAAATGTTTATCTTGTCAGATGGGCCTTTTCTGTCCTCACTCAATAGCCAGCTTGCTGCTCCTCACAGAGAACCACCTCCAGTCAAAGCCAGAGTTGAAGTTTGTCTTTAACAATCCTTACTTTCCTTTTTCAGTCCTTCTCTGTGCCAGGGACCTTCCTGCTGCCCCAGTCAAAATAATGGAATCAATTTAGCTACACTTATTTTGTTACTTACCTTACAGGTATTAATATTTCAAGACAAAATGTTACATTAGAAGTGAAATTCCAAGTACCAAAGTGAAATTTTTGGATAGTTAATGTTTTTGGATAGCTAATTTTAGATTTGGGATAGTGAAACCTTAGGTAAATATAGTTGATGATATTTTAAAAATCATAAAACTTAATATACTAGAGGAATTGTAATTAAAGTATACAACTGTTTCTCCATTCAGTCTTCTCAGATTTTTTTTTAGCAAACTAGTCCACATTACTATGGTCTTTTATTAGGTTTATGTGATATGGTTCTGAGTTTCTAAATATTTTCAGTACAATGAAGCTACGATGAGATCGCCTTAGAATCCCATTATCTTTTTGCTTGGTATTCATCTGAAAGGAGCAATGACATCCAAATATCTTCTTTTTATATCTTCACCAAAAGGGAAATCTGCATGTTTTCACTTACCAATGACAAACCTTGGCTTGCCATAACACCCACTCGAATGACTGCCTCTCCAACTTCCAACACTAAGAACAATAAAACAGAAATACGGGGGTGTCTGGGTGCTCAGTCAGTTAAGTGCCTGACTCTTGATTTTGGGTCAGGTCATGATCTCATGGTTTGTGGGTTCAAGCCCTGCACTGGGCTCCACACTGGCAGTGTGGAGCCTGTTTAGGATTCTTTCTTTCTCACTCTCTCTCTTGGTCCCACCCTTGCTCTGTCTCTCTCTCAAAATAAATAAATAAACTTAAAAAAAAAATTAAAAAAATGAATAAATAGTGGGATGCTTTTTCTTCTTCTTCTTCTTTTCTTCTTCAGCTTAGTAAAGAAAACAGCATAAAAGCAGCTGAATATAAATTATAATATCAGAATAAATTACTGCCTTATATGGAAGGTTCCTGTGGGTGTGTGGCTCTTCCTAACATTCATCACATGTATAATGTGCCTCAAAGTTCACCATAATAAATCTTTTGGTTCTCAGAATTATAGTCTCCCAGCTGTTAAAAACCACTTCACACAGTACCAAACTCTAGAAAGGTATGACTCCCTATAGGTACAGAGATTGTCTTTCCCAATGCCTAGAGGGGGTGATCAATTAATTTTAGAATAGGAAGTAACAGGATAATATAACCGATTTTCTATTGAGTGAGTCAGTGTTTAACATCATTGTGCTTCTTTTTCTTCAGTACACATGGCCTCATAATTTACCTATCCCGCTGGGTCTTTGTTAAGATTAAATTAAATAATGTTTATAGAATGCCTGGGAAATAAAAATCACTTAATGAATGGCAGCCATTAGTATTGTTTGAGTTTAGAGAATGACTTTGTTCTTTGAGGAGCGTGTAGAGTTGGTTTGCAGTAGGTTAGAAAGGCAGAGGGTGGATTTCAGAAGAAAATTTAGAATTATTATTAAATTAAGCTATATGCAAAGCGATCATGAAAAACAACAATAATAGCAGATTGCTACCAAAAAAGATCCTAAGGGACTTTCAGTGAAACTTGTCAAAAATACCATCAAAGGAAATAGAGACATACTCTAGGCTAAGGTTGTGTCTAGGTTAATTTGAACAACTGCCTTCTTACACAATTGGGAACAAGGCAGATATACACACTGCAGAATACATAAAAACAAGGTATTTTAAAACACACAGCACACCTATGCGCCTGGAAGCTAAAGGTACAGGTAACGCAGGTGTGCTTATGGTCTTCAGCTATTTAACAAGAGACTCTTTATGTTAAGTATCCTGGATTACCTAAAAAAGATTTCCTTTGTCATTAGATAATGATGAGAGAGCATTTCCTATATATTGATAGGCTGATGGATCAGCACATATTTAAAGATTGTCTTGGTTGATGAAAGACAGTTTCTGAACTATGTTTCTCTCCATCTCTAATGTGGCCTGGACACCTCTTTGACATCTCTTTAATGACCCAAAAGCCTCTCAAAAATCAGTATGTCCCAAAATAATCTCATTATCTACCTCTTCCCTTCTGATCCTAGCCCCAACCTGCTCCTCTTCCCGGATTCCTTGCCATACCCTCGTCATAGAGAAAGGTACTATTACCCACAACCTGTTCAGTTTTGTAAGCCAGAAATTTAGGAATCATTCTTGACTGTACCCCTCTTTTCCTTTCAAATCCAGTCTGTCATCAGGAACTGTTGATTTTACTTCCCAAATTTCTCCCTCTATCCATTTCTCTTCATCTTTCCCACCATCAGTCTAGCTAATCTATCAACATCTCTCCTGAACTACTGTGATAGCCTCTTAAATGGTCTAACTCTGTATGTTCCCCTACCAACATGGCAACCCTTAACCCCAAACTATACTCACATCACAGCACGAACCAGATCTTATTATTCTACCACTCTGTACACTGACCCACGCTTAAAACTCTTGGATGACTTTTGATGTCCTTAGTATGAAGAGAAAAAAAAAATGCCTTAGCATGATCTACAAAGCCCTGTCCTGCCTTCTTCATGTATAATCTACTTCATGCATAATCTATTGTTTTTGTCTCTGCTCCAGCCACACTAGCCTTTGTGTGCTCACTGTGCTTCCTCTGGCACAAGGCAGTTCTGGCTCTTCCTGCTGCCTGGACCACTCTTGCCAACCCTTTGGCCTAGTTATCTGTTCAGATTTCAGTTCAGTTGTCACTTCCTTGAAGAAACCTTCCTTGACCTCTGGACCATATCAGTTCCCTGTTACTACTTTCAGAACCCCTTGCAACTCTCCTTTATAGCTTTTAATGAAGCTGTGAGTTTATTTTGTTTACATGATTGATGTTTTTCTTTCCTATTAATATGGAAGTTCCAGGAGATAAGGGACCACATCTATTGTTGAGACCGTTTGGCCCCAACCCCAGTAGAGGGTGCATGACCTAGTAGCACACAATAACAAATATTTATTGAATGAATAAATAAATGATGTCAGGTAAGTTTTCCACATTGTTTGCAGTGAAGACACTTTACTGTTTTTTGCATAAAAGCAAAAAAAAAAAAAAAGCCTTAGCAGGCAGTCTGTTGTGTAAAATGTCCAGTTTGGTCAATGAATATAAATATGAAAATGGTTAATTCAACCAAATCAAGGTAAGGTTATAAGGTTTTGCAAAAAGTGAGTTCCTAATGATTTTTTTTACCTTTAGTTTCAAAGAGTTCAGTTTTTCCTCCCTGAGGTGTTCTCTCAACATCTCCCGGTGGAGCCTCTCCTGTTCTCTTGCAAATTCACCAAGAGTGTACTGGCGCACACTGTTATGGCGGCTGGACATGCCCAGGGTGCTACCCCCTTGACTGGGCACGCTCGTGAAGCCTTGCCTCCTGGTGAAGTAGTACACGGTGACACAGCTAAAATGCACATTCTTTGTCCTTAGCCGCTTCTCCCTTTTGAGGATGGAGGAAGCTGAAAGAGAAAGAAACAGTTCAGTGAACACCTAGGGCAGCAGTCTTCAGATGAGGTGAAGAATTAAAAAATGCCATTTGATGCTATTGAATCTATTGTCAACCCTTTCTGGCTGGGAGACACTAAAAATGTTCTATCTGAGAGCTGGCACAGATTTCTATTTCCTTTCTTAAATTTTCCTCCAGCTATAGTGGAGTAGACTTTTAAGTCCTCTATAATGGTAGTCTAAGCAAACTTTCAGGAAAGTTGCCAATAGTCTGTGAGTCAGTGGCAGAATTTAATTTATTTCCCCTAGCATCTTAAGTTTGGATTTTGTGGTTCTTCACATGAGTTGCATCATACTATAATCAGAAAAGACATACTACAAACTCCTATATTTTGGATATTGTTTTGATATTGAGGGCACTTGGCAAAAAAGTCTATGAATTTTAGAAAATTTTAAAAAGCAATAAAAACCTTACAAAAAAGGTTTACTGGCACTATTAAGACATTTTCACAACCTAAATTTAACAAAGTTTTCATCTGATAAGAACCCTACTAACTAGCATTACAGACAGTAGGATTTTAATATAAGTGTGCATTGAGACAATTGAAAATGGCTATGAAATACATTAGAATCTTTATTATTAGTTGGGGACATCAAGATGCATTAAGCATCATGGAAGTTTGAGATATATACCATAGTTGAGAAAAAGAGAGGCACATATTATAAACATGAACTTTTTAGAGTTAGAAGACATGCTAGACATCATCTCACCCCGTCTTTCTATTTTATAAAGTAACCCAGACTTGCAGAATTTGAGTTTTTTTCAATGTAGGTAGTTAGTGGAAAAGGTAAACTTAAACCAGCAATTCCCCAATCTGGTGCCATATTAGATGATATTTCTCCATTGCAGAAAGAAAAGTACACTGAATTGAGGAGAAAAATATAGAATCATGCTCTTATGGATCATTTCAGCTACTCCCCTACCAATATGTTGAAGTTCTAACGCTCAACACCCCAGGTTACACAGGTGATTTTTACACAGGTGATCGAGTTGAGGTAAGGTCATTAGGGTGGGTGTCAATGCAGTACAACCGGTATCCATATAAAAAGGGAGAATTTAAACACACATACATGGAGGGATGATGTAAAGAGACAAAGGGAGAAGTCCATGTGAAGGTGGATACAAAGATTAGGAGCATACTGCAAAAAGCCGAGATGCCTTGGGCTACCAGAAGCTGGAAATGCAAGGAAAGCTACAGTTTTCAGAGAGAGCATGGTTCTGCTAACACGCTGATTTCAATCTAGTCTCCAGAATGGTGAGACAAGAAATTTCTGTTGTCCTAAGCCACTGAGTTAGTGGAACTTTGTTTCAGCAGCCTTAGGAAACTAATATGCATGCTCAGGTAGACAAATAGACAGAAACAATGCACTGAGCAAAAATCCTTGGATAGCCACCAGTAATATAAGCTAACATTTATGGAGTGCTTTCCATGAATCATCTCATTTTATCCTTACAACTCCTTGGGTTGATATTACCTGTGTCTCCATTTGAGGAAACCAAGTCACCAAAGGGTTAATAACATTGCCAAAGTCATATAAGGAGAAGTGAAGCTGGAATTTATTATTCCAAGGTCCAGGGAGTTGAACAAGGCTGAGTCTTGGTGTCATACTACTTCTGGTAGATGTCAACTGCTGCTGCTTTCAAAGATGATTTTGATTTGGAAGGTTGCATAAGCAATGAAAGAAAAGGGACTACAATATCACTTTGCATTTGTTTAAGAATCTTCTTCCAAAAGGGTTCAAGTTCCTTTGCCTCATACCCTCCCCCCCCCCTAAAACATTCAAACCAAATGCAGAGAGGCTGTTATGATTAACCACATTTCACGAATTGACTTATTCAATAAATATAAACAAAGGGCCTACTACGTGCCAGGCACTTTCCAGATGATTGGATATATTGGTGAAAAAAACCCACATGGTGATTCCTGCCCACATGGAACTTCCATTTCCAGTGATGAGAAACTCAGACAGAATAACAGACTGAGAAGTTTATAGAGTAAGAGAAATAATGACATTTGGGCAAGAATTTCATCTTCCCAACTTCCCCCTCTTCTCTACTGTTCTACTTCTCCACAGGAGACCGCCAGAAAGCAAATACTTTCAAACGTGTACACAATTTTCCCATTTATTTATGTACATGTTCACTGCACATATTTGTACTCCTGCCAGCAGAGACAATTTTCAACTTTGATTTAGAAGCTCTGATCTGCTTCATAACGGTATGTTTAAATCATCTCAAAACAGGGAAGAATTTGTCAAAATGTAAAAGATTACCCTAGAAAGAAAAATTCAGCAACCTGCCTAGTAATCTGCCACCCTATCTGACAGGCTCATCTGTCACCACCTTACAGCAGGCAAGAGCCTCTGGTTTTGGGTGATAGCCTTTAACCTTTTTCACTTTTGTTATTAAATGATGCCCTGAGACATTATCTTTCAAGGCCATGAATTTACAGATTAAAAAAAAAAAAAGGTTTTAATGAACTCTTTAAAATAATTTTTATAAACATCTCTGGTGATTTTATTACTAATCTTTAAAATATAATTCATGGTAGTCTAGACAAATTTCATTTTTAACATTTATTTAGACTTTTAGATTATAAGGATTCTCCAGTCTTCTGGATGGATCTATTGCGATATGAATCTACCATTTCCTAAAAAGCCAGATTATTTTTTTCCAAAAAGACAATTTTCTAAGGCTTCCAGGATAACAATAGTGGCAGGTTGTAGAGTCCCTTCACCTGGGCTCTTGGCTTTGCTAACATTGTCAAAGTGTGTCAGGATTGGATTGGTGTCAGTTCCTATCCATGGGGGTTTATAATTCAAACCTGTGCTTATCCTTTTTCTAGAATTTGCATATTATAAATAGCACCGTAAAAATAATGATCGAAACGCCTATGGATATATTTAAAAGAAAGGCTTTGAAATACTATAAGATCAGCCTCCTGGGAGATATTTTAAATGTAGCTTTCCTGGATATAGGAGCCACCCACGTCTCTCTTCTGATGATTGAATTGGAGCACTAGAATGGGCCTTTATGGGCTATCTCCTGCCTCCAGGCTCCAATTTGACTAACATCACAAAATGAAGTCATAAAAAAAGAGTGTGTGTTCTTCAAGCCTGGGACAAACAGGCCAAATTCACTCAGCACATCTGCCTTAGGGAATCTGAAACCTCCCTCATATGCCTACCTAGTAATTTGTGCCCTTTGCAGAATGACTGAACTCTACTTTGTGTCTCTACAGAGTCCAGAATTCACTTTACCACTGTGAGGTCAAGAGTGAATAAAAAAAGGGAGAAGGTGTCTTTCATTACTGCTTTGAAAAATAATTAGTCTATTTTCATACACACTAATTTTTTTGGTGTCTTTAAACTTGTTTCCTTTTATCCTATTCACTGTTACCACCCTGAAGCTCAGCGTCTAAATGCAACAGTACTCTGTGTGCTGCACAAGACCCAGCTCCTGAGAACACCACTATGGTTCCCATCAGGGTATGCTGGTTACTGTACAACGATCACATATAATGGAGATGATATTGATCTTGGTAAACTAAAGGAATAAACAGCACAGAGTGACTGATGTTAGCTATCTGCAGAAGCTATCTTTCCTAAAGTAATGCTTTGGAAATGAATGGAGAAGAGAATTGGAGAATTGCCTAATTCACAATTCCAGGATGAGAATGTAAGTAGATAAAATAAAATAATCTGTACCATAAATCATATAAAGAGTCCATGAACAGAGTGGATTAAAAATGGAAGCCAAAACTAATAAGTTTTGATCAATATATCAAGGTATCACAAGTGAATCAAATTAAGCTCTAAGAAAATTCAACTGAATTTGCTCCATTTCCACACTTATAAATGAACCTGTTCATACAAATTGAAATACACCTTCAGATCAACAAGAGTATCTAGTTGACTCATTAATTTTATTTCTTGCTGAAAATAATCAAATTTGTTTCAGATTTATAAGTCAGTCATTTCTGAATGTGGTTAGATGTGTTATTCCATCTGAGATTGCCTTCTATGCATGCAAGAAATCATCACGTGTCTGGGCCTGAAAAATTGAAGACCAGATCTTAGACTACTGATTCCACTATTGGGCAGCCACTCTGGAACTAATGTTTGTTTGTTTTTTGTTAATTTTTTAAAATGTTTATTTATTTTTGAGAGAGAGAGAGAGAGACAGAGAGAGACACAGAGAGAGACAGAGTATGAGCAGGGGAGGGGCAGAGAAAGAGGGAGACAACAGAATCTGATGAAGGCTCCAGGCTCTGAGCTGTCAGCGCAGAGCCCGACACAGGGCTGAACTCACCAACTGCGAGATCATGACCTGAGCTGAAGTTGGATGCTTAAATGACTGAGCCACCCAGGCACCCATGGAATCAATGTTTGAACAGCAAACTAGCTACCCTCACAAGGCACTTGTTCTTTGTAGTGTCAACAACTATCAACAAAGCCCTGGTATAGCCAGAAATGCAGAGAGCAATAAACAGAATTATATTTTCTGGCACTAAATTTAGTACACAGAAGTTGAGAGTTTGTGGTCCAGTCTGTGGAAAATATTAATTCTACCATTTGGGTCTAAATTCAATAATCTACTTCTCTCTCCTATGCACTATTCTCAGAAGGAAAATACCAGATGATCTGTAAGTCTATATATTGTGTTTATTTTTCATTTATTTGGGGGGAATTTAGTCTAAGCAAAATGAGATTACTGACATTAACTTGTTTAGCTGGTAAGTCCTGGGCAAGAAAAACTCCCGTTTTTAGAAACATACACAGCAAACTAATCAGGGATTCTGAAAGTATGCATATTGCTTCTTACCTCTTGAGGAACAAATCAAGATCAAATCAGTTATGAAGTCATGAAACCTAGCTTACAAACAGAAAAATCCGGTCTCATCAGAAATATTTTATATAAAAAATTATCCTAATAGCTTAGATATTAAATCAA